TAGAAAATAGTTTTTCAAAGGAAATCTGGTCTGATTTATCGGCGCGACCCAAATTTTGAGGCATTTCCAACTCTTCTGACGTCACAACAACGCAGATATTAAACAGCATAAATTTTAGGGCTCAAAGTTAAATCAGTGACTCTTATTTCAATCAGTATCACGGCCAGGAAACAAAATGTTTCAATTATGAGAATCCGAAACAATCAATCAGAGCCAGAGTCGGTCATCGCCACCGGGTCGTACTCCTTGCCGTTCTGTTGCTATGCTAACTAGCCTAGCAATCACAGCATGCTATACTAGCTGTGCAGCTCACCAGAGAGCCAACCAAGACCCGCCTCCTGGCTCTGATTGGCTGTTTCTAGTTAGCTCAACCAATCAGCAGAGGAGCTTGATTTTTCTTTTCTCTGATTATTTGTCTCAGACCAAACGGTCACAACACAGCGACAGTTTCAGCAGATGTATAAAAACATATTTGTATAAAAGTTACGCGCTGCAGCAACTCGGCTTCAGACTGTTGATCCCACCCAAGTCCAGCTCTGATTCTCTAGTTCAGGAAGCTCAAACCGTAATAATCCTGCAGCATTTTGGAAATTTTACCTCAATTGTTAGATTTGTGAACAAGAAGCAGTTTCTGGTGTTTATACTCTGCCTTTATGTCGCCCTTTCTGCTGCCTCCACCGGCTTTCTTCAGATCAGACGTCAACCAGCCTCCCTCACCTTCATGAAATCACAGAAATTTGCTGTCAATCAACTGAGCAGCGTTTGTTTTGACTATATAAATGAAAACCTGCTGTAAAAATCAGTGGCGTCTAAACTTTTTGCACCAAATTTAAACTGCACACATGCCACAAATTTCATTAAATTAAAAGCAAAACATGACTTAATTCTTTTACTTGCTTGACAATAAGCTAATTTTTTTTATGAAACCTATAAATTCTTAAGCATCCAAAACATTTAAAAAGCATCATACTGTTGCTTTGTTAAGAGAAAAAGACAATTTCCAATTATTGGAGTTTATCAGCTGTTTTCTATTTTGTCTACCAGATTTTTACCGTTCTGAACTTGTACAAGGAGGACCAACCAATATCATTTTGAAGGCCACAAATGGCCCTCATACCACACTTTGGACACTCCGAAGTTATATGTTTGTTAGCGTGGACTTCTGGAAACTAATATAATAAAAGTTATCAATGTTTGACACGAGTTTAGTTTGATTTAGGTGATGTAAGGAGATTATTTGACTTTTAAACTTTGATCAATTTCTTCAAAACAAAAGCAGCACAAACGTAGCACACTTTATTTACACCAGATTTACTCAAAAAGTGTGGAAGAACATCTTTAAAAGATAGTTTGACTTCAATATTGATTTGAAGATTTTGAGGGCGTTTAACGTAAAATAGTCACTGAAACTTCTTCAGTGCTTTGCCACTGGTGAAGCAACAGGCAGGAAACTAAATGTAACAATTTCTAAACAGAAGAGTTTGAGATGAAGGCTACTTTTTGTAGCCTGTCTGTCCACTGTGACCTCCCCAAGCCCTGGAAAACCTACTGCAGACAGAAAGGAGGCTTTCCTCTTCAGAAGTGCTTTTCATGATGCAACGTTTGACACTGTGGCCTTTTCGTACCAAATCAACCAAGTGCTAATCTCACTTCCTCCTCCTCCTACTACTGCTGGAAAATCTCTGAATGTTTTCAGTTTTATTAATTTTACCCCTTCTAGCAGCAGAATGTTGACATTTCTCTGGTTTTAATTTTTCTGCTTGTTGAGACTTTTTCTGCTCCAGAGTTCTTCCAAATGCCTGTTGTAGCATATTGGAGTTTTTTTTTTTAGTTGAATTAAATATTCCTGAGCAGAATGAAGAAGTGGCTTTAAGGGGTTTTGTTGGTAGCAGCCGCAGACCTTTATGTTTTCAACAATCAGCGCTGATTAGTGTGTTACACTGTGACTTCTCCCCCATCTTTTCCTCTGGTGTGTTTGTTATACTCCGCTGAAGTTGATCTTTTTAAATCACGTTTTGTACTATAACAATAAAACGGTATTTCATTGTCAAATGCTGCCTTTGATTTTATTTATTTATTTTTTCTTGCTGTTGAAAATAAGAGTTAAGAATATAACATTAGCTTCCGGTCAGGAGCCCCATTAGCAAAACCACAACAGTACAAAATATCTAAAGAAACACTGACTTAGACATTTTCATCTCATATTTATTCACTTTTCAAAAATTATTACATTTGCTTAGCATAAATGCTCCTGGTCGGTTCCTTCGGTCTTTTTCTTGTCAGAAACTTTTCCATTTCGCCCTAGCTATGCTATGCTAGCAAGTGCGAAGGACCAGTCGGCCAATCGGAAAGACGAGCACAGCAAATAACATTTAACTTAATATTTTTATCATTAAAAACAGAGTAAAATACAATTAATTTGATAAATATTTTCTTTCTTACCCTTTCTTCAACTTGCTTAAACTCCCACAGCGCCCCCTGGTGGGCACCGTTTTGTAAACATTGCTTTACGTCTCATTCTTGATGCTTGTCATAGATTTCTATTGTGTTACGGGTTAATCTCAAATCAACTAATTAAGAACAACAGAAAAATAAAAAAAGTATGCAGCTTTTTCTTTCATAATGTTCTCTGTTTCCATTTTTGTTCTGTATGAGGCGCCGTATGGTTAAAATATGTGCTCTATGTTTCTGGATCTGTCATTTTATTAGCATGTATTCTGCACAGCTGTAAAAAAAGTATTCACCCCTTAATTAATTTCTTCTGATTTTACATTTTTGTTACATTCAGAGTTTCAAATCTACTAGCAGAACTCGTGTTAAAGTAAGAGTAGCACAACATATTTTACTCAAGTAACCCGTCCAAAAAGTTAGTCAACAAAGAGTGAAAAGGTATTTAGTAAAAAGGCGACTCGAGCATCTAGTAACCAATCAGGACATCTAACTAAAATATAAAGTTGTCCAAATTTTGGTATTTTGAAGTCTTGAATGAAGGAAAAACAATACGTTCAGGCAGAAAAAACTTTTCCAAATCAATTTTTTTTCTCCTAAAAGTAAATTTATTCCACAAAGTTTTTCCACTAAATATATAGTTAATACCCACTCTTTGCAGAATTATTTTAATTCAGCCACATTGAAAGCATGATCGTTAAAGTTTTCTGCAACCTAAACTTTGCCTAAATCACCGCTAAACGTTTTTTCAGCTATGTTCGTCCTAAAAACCTCGAAAACTTTTAAAATGTTTCAAGTATAATGGAAAGAAGAAGAGAGGTTATAACTACTGACCTGAATACATTTTTAAAACATTTTTATTTTATTTTTTTATTTCATCATTACTTCGCACCGGTTTTGCAACTTGAAAGTGGGTGTGACGCCTTAGCATGATCTAAGTTTCGATCTCCGAGTTGACCTGAACGCAGCGTTTGTCCTTGCGTGTCACTGGCATGATGCAGATAATATTAACAGACAAAATATACATTATGTAGTCTAAAACAAAACATCTGAAATGTGTATTATTTAGTTTAATTTTAACTTGTTTTGAATTTAATGATTTTAGAGGGCAACCGAAGCTGAAGTTGGCTTCCGATCCGATTCGGGAAACGATTAAAGGGCAAATCCACCTCATTTTCCACACACTGAAGCAGCTTTACCTTGGTTAAATTTAAAAGCTACATTACTTTGACTATTCAAACCTAGGCTAGATTATTCTACACTAGCAGTAAAATATTTAAAACTGAGTTACAGATCAGTTAATGAACGCAATACTTTGTGATTTGACTTGGTTTCCCAAATCACAAAGTATTATAGATTTTAAACTATCAGCATATTAAAGATGCTCGAGATAGGAAAAAAAATAGATGGAATTGCTTTTTAGCAAATTTCTCAAGTTAGACACCAACTTAAGTTTTGTATGTGGAAAAACACTGTAAATTCTGAGCTTTCACAATAAGCACGTGAACGCCGTCCTGAGCTCTGATTGGCTCTGACTCGGAGCCAAACAGTCCAGCAGCAGAACACGCTTGCAACAAACAGTGAAGAAGAGACGCACAAAGAGTTAGCGCTACGACTAAAAACACTTTATTTTCGTTACATATAGCTATGCAGAATGAATGCATGTTTTAATGTAATGATTAAACATAACTTGGCTCGTTTAATGTAACACAGAGCGGGCTTTTTAACGGATGAACTGAACCTGCCTTTTTCTCCTTAGCTTAGCTGGTTAGCTTAGCTGATGTCAAACCTTTTTACGTCCGTGTTCACCCAGGAACGACGACACGCTGAAGCTGCGTAGAAGCTACACCTGACTTGGGTTTTGTTTTATAAATCAAACAGCGTGTGTTTGGGGGGGTCAACGGCTACAGCTTTTGAATAAAAAGCGTCATAAGTCACCCTGCGAAACTAGGAAGTCTGAATGAAATCTGCATTGAGCTTGTTCGAATTTTTGCACTTCGCGCGAGATTTGACACTTCGCCCGATGAGTTAAGTTTGTTTCTATGAAAGTTCACCAGAACAGGGTGCTTGAAACGGGATTTTCCGTGGAAATATCAGGCCGACCTGTCCACACTTTGACTCGTGTTCGTGGGGAATAAATTGGAGCCAACATGATTCCCGATAAAGCCCCGCAGGAGGACGTCTTCCACTGCTCCGAGGACCTAAAGAAGGAGTCCCACATCCCCAGCTTTGAGAAATACAAGGAGCTCTACACCCGCTCCATTGAGAATCCAGATGGTGAGTATTAATTTAAGCTACATAATATATGAATATTTAATGCGAAAAGTGATAAATCTTGTGAGAAGATGTAAAAGATAACACGGGTGTCGCAACCTGCAGGATTACATCTTCACACCCAGTAACGCATCCGCATTGCTCTGATACCACACAGGATCAGTGAAAGGTCGGAGTTTCTCCAGGAATTTCCCAGTTTTCACACTGAAACATTTCAGTGCAAACATTTCAGTTTACACTGAGTCAGAGAATGAAACCCAGAAACGCTCATTATTCAGTAAATTTAGCTCCTTTTTCAGTACAAACACGGAGTTATTAATTTATACATAGAGCTTTACAACAGAATGTACTAAGCACATATTCACACAGGTAAACATAGAAATAATGCCAATAATATTATTATAATATGTTGGGATTCCCTTTGAATGAACTGAACCAACCTGTCTTATGTTAATAGTGATAATTAGACCTGTCACAATGACAAATTTTGCATTGTAATTAATGGGACAATATTGTGGTTTTTTTTAAGGTTTTGTTGGCTCTAGTGGCCTTTATTTGAAAGTAGTTTGACAGGAAAGAGGGTTATGAGAGAGGGGCAAATGTCACCAGGCTGGGAATCGAGCCTGCGACCACCGGCATGAGGACTGAGGCCTCAGTACGTGGGCCGTGCTTTGCCCCTGCGCCACCACAGCACCCCATGATAATATTGTTTTGAGTCCATTTTGAAGTAATACAATAATAATAGTGGCATAATAATGGAAGGAAACATTCTCAAAGATCAATAAACTTTAAATTCTAGTGAACATTTAACCTGGAGGACATTAAAAAAATCAAAAATAAATAAACCAAACAACAAATGAAATTAACTATGAAGTCTTCGTAAGCAAGATTGTCATTCAAAAAAATGGCTAATTAAGACCAAAACACCAAACTGAAGATTTTTATCATCCAGTTTGTGATAAAGAGAAAAAAGAGAAAAACAATAAATCATGCAAATTGAGATTATTGAGCTTGTTTGAATTTATCATAGGATTGATTTATTTCTCATTGTGACAGACTTTTATAGCCCTGTCACAATGAGACGATAAATTGTCCCAGAAATTATTGTGATAAACAATAATATTGTCATTCTGAGACGATTTTCAACTAATATACGGCAATAACAATAATGGCAGAGTTCAAAGACTGGAAAAACTTTGATTAGTAACATTTTACACTCTAAATGAAAAATGTTTAAATGGATAAAATAAACAAACAAATCAAAAATTTAAATGGGTTATAAAGTCCAGGTAATTGCATTTAAAAATTGCCTGTTTTCAATTCGACAGAGAAAACAGGCAGAAGTGTCAGGTAGTTCAAACTAACCAGTTTTCTCTGGGTGTCAAATCTTTGCAACATTTTTCAAAATGGCAACTTTTCAACGATAGCATAAAAAAGAATATCTTTTTTAACGATTGTTGTTGATCTAATTTCTTATTGTGGCAGATTTACCTAGACTTCCATCCATTTCTTCCTGTAGTTTCTGCTGGTTCACATTTAAAGCCTGTTGAAAGATTTGTCATACAGTTACAGACAGGTTTAGTATTTACTTTAAAACAGACAATAAATGGGATAGTCTTTGGCTAATTATTATGACTCATATCTCAACATCAGACCAAAGGAAATGTTGATGAATCGTTGAGATAATCAACCAACTGGTTTCATCATTTTGCAGAACATGATACATCCACTCTTCCTCTTGCAAACCCATTTTAAAGCCTCACATAAAGTTTGAAATATTGCACATATGCAGTTTCTGTTTTATTTTTTATTTTTACCCTGTTACTTCCTGGTTCAAGGCTCAGTGCGTCTTTATTGCCTCCACTAAAGGCTGTTTGATTGCACTAACCCATAAACATAAACGGTTTGGTAGTGATACACACTTTGCTCCTGTGTGCTGATGTACAAGGCAGATAACTGCAGGAGGAAATAAAAGTTTACAGACATGCAACCTGTTGGGATTTTATCACAAACTTACAGCTTCAAGGAATCATTGATCTCTGCCCATTGCTGTTCAAACTACTGAATTAACCCAACTATAAAAGTCAGCTGCAGAAAACATTGTCAAAGATCAATAAACTTTAAATTCTAATAAACATTTAACTCTGGAACTGGAGGACATTTTAAATATCCACAGTAAATAAACAGAACAATAGAAACAAATAAATAAAGCACCAGACTGAAGACTTTTACCATCCAGCTTTTGGTAGGAAGAGAAAAACAGTAAATTACACTAAACATTGAGTCTGCTTTCTGTCATTTCATTATGATTTCATCCAGGTAATTTCATTTCCTGAGAAATTAATGATGCATCCAACAGTCATGCTTTGTATTTTTGAAAAACACAAATATTTATATTTTTGCCAAAACTCCTGGATGTTGCGTATGAAGAGCAGGATGTCCATTAGTCTTATCCCATCAGGTTCTGAACTGAACCGGAATGATGTTAATAACTATGATACATTTTTCTGTATTTTAAATGTGAATTTCTTGAAAAACCCAGCGGTGCCTTTCTGCCCTGATTCTGTGCCGCAGAGTTCTGGGGTGCCATTGCTAAAGATTTCTTCTGGAAGACCAAACACACCGGTTGCTTCCTGGACTACAACTTCGACGTGACTAAAGGAGAAATCTTCGTTAAGTGCATGGAAGGAGCCACCACCAACATCTGCTACAACCTGCTGGACCGCAACGTCCACGAGAGGAAGCTCGGCGACAAGATCGCCTTCTTCTGGTCAGTGGAGGGACGCAAAACGGATCCCCATATAAGCGATTATATGATGTTATCAGTTACTCTGTCGCCTTTTTGTCAGATGCTTCTTTGGATGTCTACGTTTTACTTTCGCTTCAGTAGAAATACATAGAAGTACTGCTGCTCTTACTTCAGTTGAGTTTTTGGGTGTAGCTACCTGAACACATCAGCGGCTCCCTGATTGTCGCGCCTGACTTCAGTCTCATCTGCTGTTGAACGTGGACTGTTACATTTCTCATTTCATCCTTCCTGTTTGTGATGTTCCTCCTGTTTAATGTTGTATGGAACCCAAATAGAGCTGGAAAACCTGAAAATCAACTGATGGTTCAGTTTTTTGCTGAAGTGTGAAGGTTAAAGCCGAAATGGTCCCCAATTATTACATTTCTTGCTTCTTCTAAATTAAATGACACATCAAGACCAAATCAGATAATGATGCTTTTTTATTAGACGATAAGTTTAAAACTTGGTTTTTAGATTTGCAGATGAGAATCATATATATATTTTTTGCACTCAGTATGTTGGTTATTAGGATGCTTGTAAAGAAAACCAACAGTTCGACATCAGATTTCTGTGTCAGCCATTTTGGGGGAAAAAACTTAATCAAGGCTAACATTCATAGTCATTATGATTATTATGACCCATTATTGGTTTTTAATTCTGTAAGGAACGATAAATTAAACCAGTCAGATGTTTGTGTGTTTGTTTTTCCTGACTCTCTCTTTCTCCAGGGAAGGCAATGAACCTGGAGATGACTTGACCGTCACCTACAGAGAGCTGCTGCAGAAGGTCTGCCGGTTCGCTAATGTCCTAAAATCCCAGGGTAAGCCCCGTCTGCCCGCTAATCCACCAACTTTTAAACATCTGATCTGCCACTGAGCCTTCAGGGTCTTTTCACTCCTCACAGTCCAGCAGGCTCGGGTCGACTGGGGACCAAAATGCAACATTTGTTAAATTTTTTTGTGTCAAACCCTCTGGAGCCTGTTTCCCTCCTGGCCTGTGGGGGCGCTGCGCCAAGAGATACAGAAGGAAATGACACAAAGACCTCTGAAGAAGACACTGAGCACAACTTCCTTCTTTACCAAGTGTGAACAAAAATGGAGTGGCGTCAGATTTTAATGGTTGGAGGATTTCTCTTTAGTCTTTGGTAAAAAAACAAAAGAAAAGCCATTTCTCCTGCTAACCCATTTGTATTTACCCAGAATGCCCTGCACTGTAGTTCACTTCCTGCTTTTGGAGTTATCTTTCCAGCTCCCGACGTAATGGCATAGCAATGCAGGTTCACTCTCTCAAAGATCAGTAAGCTGACATTTCTGACAAACTAGAAGTGGAAAACATTTTATATGACCAAAATAAACAAAGAAACAGCAATTAAAATTGCTACTAAAGTCTCTGAAAAAGTGGCTGTTTGAGACCACAGAACCGGTCTGACCGAGACGGTTTCAGACCGGAGGATAAAGCCATGTATGACCCAGACACCAGCCGAACTGGACCGTTGTAACCGATGGAAAAATCAGCTGCATTCGCCACCATTCAGCCCAAATGGGGCAGCAATGAGACGGTTTTAAGCCAAATATTGCAGAATCAAACACATTTACATAAAAATGTCAAAATAGCACCTTTAAGAACAAATTTATGCAGTTTGTCTTTAATCAAGACAAACATGAAAAATCTTTAATCTGGGCAGCAGGAGACGTGTAAATGAGGATTAAATTGGCCTCAGAGGAACCAGCTGCTTTACCGTTACAATCACTGAATTACACAAAGGTATCATTTTCCAGTTTCTCTGTGTCTAAATGTTGTTTCCTGACCTCCGTTGTTTAACATAGCCAGTTTCTGTAAAGTCCCAGCGGATTTTGGCAGGAACCGACTTCTGTGGTTCTCTGGCTCCTTAGCGGTTGTTGCTACACCATCTGCAGAGAGCATGATGGTGAAATGTACTGAAATGTTTGCTTTCTCACAGATGATGAAAGCACCTGGTTTCAACACTGTAACAGATATTTTTAGCTACTGTAGGAAATAAACTGTTGCTGTTCAGAAAAGTCTCCTCTGACTTTCTGCTTCGAATCACCAAAATCCTGCAGTCGGTTCTGAAGGTTTGTAAGAGGGAGAGGCTGGGCAGTTCTGGCCCTTCGTTTCTCTCCATCCAACATGGCACTAGAGGATTCTGGGTAGAACAGATTTACAGACAAAGAAGGTCTTTTTTACCGTTAATAAAAAAAATCTATATTTTTGGACAGTTTTGGCTTAATTACTGCCGTCTAAGTGTTGTTCTTTCAGCAAATGGGCTTTTTTTGTTTGAGTCTGTATACTCGATCGTCGATCACTAGAGGATCGATTAATCACGATTAATCGTTTCAACCTTTCTGTTCTTGTGTGCAGGAGTGAAGAAGGGCGACCGCGTCTCCATCTACATGCCCATGGTGGTCGAGCTGGTGGTGGCCATGTTGGCGTGCGCCCGCATCGGAGCCGTCCACTCCATCGTCGTGAGTTTACCAGACGTTCCTGCCACGTTCGGCTTTCTTTGATCGTAGAACGCGTGCGTAAACCCACCGCTGCTCCCAGTTTGCAGGTTTCTCCGCCGAGTCTTTGTGCGAGCGGATCATCGACTCTCAGTGCTCGCTGCTCATCACTGCAGGTCAGTTTGAACCAGAACCGGCTAACAGGGAGCCGAGTCGCTGCTGTAATCAAATCTGTAATCTGTAATCAAAGTCTAATCTGCCGGATTAGCCTGGGGTGAAAAACTTAATCCAGCTGGATGAAGCTCATTTATTCTTATGCTTTCATTCATACAAATGTTTTTTTCTTTTTCCCAATAAGTTTTTATAAAACAAAGAAAGAAATGACTGACGATAGGACACAGAAATATGCAGTCAGCTACTTTTTCAGGGTTTGTACGGGAGAATAAACCAACAACGTTCCCTTTTGCTAACCTGCCGACTTTTCAGACAAAAATAATTGGTGTCGGCTAAAATCTGAATCCGTTCATGCTTTTTAAAGTAATCGACTGTGGAACTGCAGTTATTTCAGTTATTTCAGTAACTTTTTGGGGAAAAAATATAGTTATTATCTAGTTATCTTTTTGCCTGATTTTGTTTTGTAATTATGTGAAATTTCCACTTAACCTTATATTTTGGTCCGTCTGTAATTTTTAAATGTTAAATTATTGATAATTTGATCGGTTACTAGAATAGACTTTTATTTTTATTCTTACTTGGGTAAAGATATGTTAACGTAGTGCTGCTCTTGAGTGTAATTTTCAGGTCTTGGACTCTCCGTTGTGTGTGAAATGTTTGTGTTTCTGTACAAAGTCTCGGCTGGAGTTAAAGGTTTCTGGTCTGAACGGAGCGTAAACCTTCTGGCTTTGTGTTTCCATGTCAGACGGTTTCTACCGGGGAGATAAGCTGATCAACCTGAAGCTCTTAGCTGATGAAGCTCTGCAGAAATGTAGAGACAAGTAAGCTGTAAATCCCCTTATTCACACACACACACACACACACACACACACACACACACACACACACCAACACGCGTAGCTGAGGTGCATTAAGCTGCAGCTCTGCTGAACTATTAAAATTTATTTTGATATCTATTGATTATTCTGACAATTAATTGATTCATCTGCAAATTTTTCATTTAATACAATATTAGAAACAAAAAACTGAATAAAAATGTAATTAATTTTAAAATAAGAAAACAAACATTTTATTCCCTGCATTTCTTTAGAGAACGATGGATTATCTGCAGCTAAAGATGAAAACCGTAAATAAACACTTAAATAAAACTTTTTTGTTTGGCAGAGCTCTGTTTAATGAACAGATTAATGATTTGATGTAAAAGGAGTTTATTATTAGATTTTTTTCTGCAGAATTTGAACCAGGTGAAGCTCAAACTGAGGATTTCTGGGCAGAACATATTTTTATTTTTACTGCAGGTTGGACTTAAAACAAAGTTCTCCTGAAAATACATACTGAAAATTAAATAAAATTAAATTTAAAGCATATTGTTTATCCCCAGGGTGATAATTGAAGGTAGGATAGGATGCAGGGAGAGTGCAAAAGTGAAAGTATATCAAAAGATTATATAAAACAATAAACCAACTGACAGAGAGCATGAAGGAACATTTAAAGCTCAGAATGACAGTAAAAGTGACGTATTAACAGTTACATGTCGGTCCTTCACTTTGGTGGACTTTTGCCCAAACAGCTTCTGGTCAGCAGCAGAAACTCTTTGAAAATACTTTAGTGTCTCTTCTTATTGCACAAATTAACCACGATCAGAAAACGGGTCAGATCCCAGACAACAAAACAGACCAAACAGTCCGTGTCTCTTCTGCAGGTGGAACTAAATCTGATAGTTTTCTGACGCCGTTGATGTGAGACCTGCGTCGTAGTTCTGCGTTAAAGCAGGACGTAAACAAACAGTGGCTGGAAATTATATTTATGGATTTATGAAAGAGTCGGAAGCTGCGTTTCCGTTACAAATGTGTTCAAAACTTAACTTTAAAAACACAATTTCCATTAAATAAGAAACTAAATTTAAATAACTTTGTTCTCAAGATAAATCATTAAAAACATTCATCATCCTCCAAACACTTCCTCTGGTCTGTTTTCCAGTGTTTCCATTGTAGTTTTGCAAAATACATTCATTTCAACACAACCAAGATTAAACTCAGACATTTTCTAAAAAAAAATTTAATAAAAGTTGAAAACATTTTTTTTTTAATTTCTGAAATTAATCTTAAAGATTTTTTTCTTCTGCCAAATTACCAACTTGTGAAGCTCAGAAATTACTTTGTTTTTCCAAGAAATTTTCCACAGTTAATCTCAAAATTTCTAAGATTAAGCTAAAAATATCTTTGTTTTTTTTCTAAGAAATTCCTGAAATTAATCTGAACATTTCTGAGTTTTTTTTTTATTTTTTATTTTTTTTGCAATTTTTCGACATTTTGAGTTTTTTTTTTTTTTATTTTAGTTTTTTTTTTTTTTTTTTTTTTTTTTTTTTTTTGGGAATTTTCACCTCTTTTTTTTTTTTTTACCTAAATTTTCTCCAAATAAAAATTGATTTTTTTT